AGCAAGAGGATACAAGGACAAGAAGTAGACTTAAATCAAAACTGAATTGAATCAGATGTTATCAAGTACCCCACCTCCACAGAAGCAGAGAAAGCAGACTTCTAAACTTATAAAGAAATTTGGGTCAACATCTTCATATCAAAGCTATGTAGCTATTCTGGGCCTGCCATATGGGGTGAGGGGGGGATAGGCTGTCTTTCAATTGATCTGTGCTCAGAAACTTCAGATCTGGAATCCAGCTTGCATTTAACCTTTTAGCAGGAGAAAATTAAGTTATAGCCTGATATGTAAAGTCTATTTTGCCAAATGGGTTGAAAAGAAAAGAAAGAAACTTAGCTCCATATCTGCAAACCCAAGCACAGCTAAAATCTTTCAGTTACATGGTGCTTAAGCACTCCTGGCACAATTTCTAGAGGGGTGGCCATAGGAGTTTTGTGTCAGTGTCTATGACCTCCGCATTATTTCATAAATGAAGAAGCGGGTCGCAAAAAGACTTGGGATTCTAGCAAGACACAAAAAGATAGCCGTCATACCGCAAAAAAAATAAAAAAATGGAAAACCCTCTCATCAGTGTTCTTCCTATTTAAATCTCATAGTGTCCATCAACTTGCTAGATCTTCCACAAGCTGTCAAAGATTTCCTCCCATATGTCCCACTTGATCTTAGATGACAGGACTTTCTGAAGAGCAAACAGGCATATGACAGAAGACTGAGCATTCTCAGTTGAGCAAGTATGCTTTTTGTCTCTAGCTGCTCAGGGGATTTTTACCTGTTTACAGTTTCTAGATAGCTATGTGTTCAGGAGAAAAAAAGTATTGGGGCACCTTAAAGCAGCCTTCCTGAATTAAGTGTCCTCTAGAGCAGCCTTCCCCAACCTTGTGCCTTCCAGAGACATTTGGACTGCAACATCCAGAATTCCCAGTCAATGGCCCTGCTAGATGGGAATACTGGGAGTTGTGGTCCTAATGCCTCTGAAGGTCACCCGGTTAGAAAATGCTGAAGTAGAGGTCTGAAGTACAACTCCAGTGTGGTGTAGTGTTGAAGAGAACAGGTCTGGAACTCAGGATCTGGGTTCTAGTCCCCACTCAGCCATGAAGCCACCTGGGTGACTCTGGACCAGTCTCAGACTCTCAGCTCAACCTACCTCACAGGGTTATTGTTGTGGAGATGAAATTGAGAGGTGGCAGCGAATGATATAAGCCACTTTGAGTTCTTTAAAAGAAGTGGGATATACATCAAATAAATAAATAAACAAACAAACTCCCAGCATTCCTAACTATTGGCTGGAGAGGTTTGAAGTCCAAATATCTGGAGGGGACCAGGTTGGAGAAAACTGCTGTAGGGATTTAGAAATGTATTTTGGCATAAGCTGTCAACAAACTATTGTCCACTTTGTCAGAGGCATGGAGGGTGTTTCTGAGACCAGTATATAGGAGGGAGGGAGGGATGGAGATTTTCTTCCCACAAATTATATTGCTGTTTTTGTAGCACTGTTTTAATTGTTTTTATAGTTTTACTTTGATAATGAGTTGCTGATGTTTTTCATGTGTAAGTTGTCTTGAAATTTAATTTAAAAAGGTAAGATCAAATTTATCCAACAAGTATATTTTTGGGGCATTCTTTAAATTCCCATGCCATCCCTGCAGTCTAGAATGGAGTGACAATCCCACTGATGTGCTGTGCAGATCATCAGGGCTTCTCTACGTCAGGTCCTCACCGAAGCCTGCGGGGGCTTTTCACAGCATCGTCACCCTCCGGAGCCTCTGCCATGTTTGCCAGCCTTCTTTGCAGGTTTTTAGAGCCAGAAAAGTCTGATATTGAACTTTGAGTTGCGACAAATGGGACCAAAAGGCTCCTGTATCTCTGCAAGTCTGCTGTAGTACAGCTATACCACCATACTGGCTTGTGGCTGCTTAACTGAATACATCAAAAAGCAGAAAAATGCAAATCCTATGAAAAAACCCCCTATAAAGGCCACACTTCTCTCCCTACAACTAAGCAGTGGGTTAAACTCCTCTTACAGAGAAGCTCTTAATCTCCACAACAATGCAATGGGTATGTCTACTTAGAAGTCCCACTTGGTTCAGTGGAGTGGATCTAGGATTGCAGCCTATGGTAATCTGATGCAGCTTGAACATGCTGAAGCGAAACAGTATTATTGACATCACTGTTCCTGAAACATACCGTGCACCCCAAGGAGATAAACAATGAATTCCATAAATGCACCATATTAAACAAGCCCAGGAATTCAAGGGTCCCACACCACACCCCACCCCATAAAGCAGTTATGCAAATCAATCAAATTACATGTGCATTTGCTTGTCATAATTTTGAATGTAACAACGTTTGGCTTTTCTTGAAGAAAGGGAGCCCAAATTCTGATCCTAGAAAATTTGAATTCCGCATGATGCCATGCAAATGAATACTATTTTCATAAGGTATTCAGCACTTCCAATTGCATGGTTTATTCTGCTTTTGCTGATCATGGAGATAGGCAGCATCTGTTGTTTGTTTGTTTCAAGCAGTCTGGAGTTTTGTGGAGGTGGAGCTCACCTTCGGACCCACAAACTCCCAGATTCAAATTCCCTTTCCCACTGTCAGGGAAAGTGGCAGAAAAGTCCTTCAAGACAGGAGTGTTGACCCTCTTTCAGTTCAAGAGTTGCTTTTCATTTCTTGGGCATTGCATTGCATTGCAACGGCAGGCAGGGTCAAAGGGAGCAAGGGCCAAAATGTCAGCAACAGGAGCCTTATTTTAACCTTTCATCTTCAGAAAAAATGCACAAAAGCTGGGAAACCACCATGGAAAGAAAGCATGGACCTACCTGATTTCTCACACATGTACCTACCCAATTGTTAAGATCTGTCTTGAAGAGCCATCCCTGAAGGAGGTGAAGGGGAGGGCAAATAGAAGCAGGGCCTTCTCGGTAGTTGCACCCTATCTATGGCATCATCTCCCCAGAACAGTTGGTCTGGCACTATCCTTGCAATTATTTCAGCACCAGGCAAAAGCAGTTTTATTTTCCAGGTATTTTAATAACTAATTAAATAGTACTGAAATGATTTTAAATTTTAATGATCATATAGTCACTATCTTGACTGAGGATAAATCTTGCTAAAATACTATGTGGCAATCTCATACTAATATTAGTATCACTGTATGCTTTTAATAGATTGTAAAATATTTTATTAATATTTATTGTATAATTTGATATGCTATCGTTGGATATACACCACCCAGAGAGTCCCATTTGGGACTACTGGGAGCAGTTTTATCAATCAGTCCATCAATCAAATAAGGAAGCACTGCCATCTGGAGGGCCAGCTGGAGCCCCAGGCCTGGAGCCCCAGGCACCTGTTCTGCACCTGTCAGGAAGGGATCACAGCTCAGCAGGAGAATGCATAGCTTGTGTGCAGAAGCTCTCAGGAGCCATCTCTGGCATCTCCAGTTCAAAAGAGTCAGGTAGCAGGTGATGAGAGAGGCAAGTCTCTGAGAAATAGCTGCTCCTCAGAGTAGCCAATGTAGGCCTAGACAGACCAGTGGCCTGCCTTATGTAAGGCAGTTTCCTATGCACTCTCTGGCGCAACAGGAAGGCAAGGCAGAGCACTTTGTTCACTTTCCGAGCACATGTTCCAGACTAAGGCTGTGGAAGGAGAAATGCACTGCTGTGACCTATTAAAACACACAGAACCCATACACTCGTTTAGACCACGGGTGGCAGAACCCTTATCACTCAGATCTCCTTTATAAAAATCTCATTATTTCCATCCTCCTTGTTTTCCTTGTAACAGTGAGAGCCTTTGTAAATGCTCAGAAATGTGACTGAATGAGAACATTATCTGAGCATTTTGGATGTCCCACAGGCCATGCAAGGAAGCAGGCAGGGAGAAAGAGAAATTGTGCCACACACACAAAGAGGGGGTGCAATGCAATTCGCAGAAGGCAAACGGAGCTCCATGGTGGGAGGAAAACAGGGCAGATATTATGCACTATATACAAACAACAAAGGAGTCGGTCAAGTTTACACAGGCACCATGATGCGCCCTTAACTGGGGCAGATATAGCGGGTGGGGGGGGGCACCAGCAAAGTTTCTGTGGCAGGGACAGAGCTGCTCGCCCCAAACACTCCAGTCTGCCCCTCTTGAATTTGTAAGTGAAGACAGTGAACTGCCTAAGGATGCCGACCATTCGTGAATATGAGGCGCAAGAGTCCTTTCTAACCCTGGTACAACGAATTTGCAGCCCGCCAGGGCAAGCTTCAGACTTGGGGTGGGGCAGGATTCAGACGGTTCACGTGCACTGTCCAGGAGCGTGTCCTCCAGGTGATGCGGGCACCAGCTCCGATTTCCCTCAGCACGGGCTCTCTGAGCCAGGGCTGATGAGGCTTCTAGTCCATAACAGCTGGACGGCGTGGGCTTGCCTGACCTGGGCAGATGAGGAGCCCCGACTTGGCCAAGCGGCGTTTGTCTCAGAGCTCGCTTGCAGCTCAGGGCACGTCCACGGGCTTGCGGCTCCCACGGGCTCCCTGCTCGGTGGCCCAGCTGCGTCGGCCTCGGACCAGAAGCTGCCCAGGTTTGGCAAGCCCCTCTCTGCACATGCCCTGAAGCATCCTCCCCGTCTTCCCGGAGCAGCGCTTCGGGCACTCGGGCGAACGTGGCAGGGCTGGAGCCCCCTCCAAGGCCCCGCGCAGCGCCTCCGTCCGTGCGCGGCTCAGGCAGAGGGGGAGCCGGCGCGCAGCAGCCCCGAGGATCCCGTGCAGAGCCGGGCGGGCGGCGGGCGGCGGACGCAGCCAAAGGCTGTGGCAGGCAGCGGGGTTTCCTCCCGAAGCAGCTATCCCTAAGCCTACCGCGGGCGGGTTTCAAAACGCACCCGCAACCCCCGCGCCTCCCTCCCCCCACAAAAAAACCCCACCATGGCAGCTTTCTCTTCTCCGTGTTATTTCTAAAGATACGGGGGTGCAGTCCTGCTCCGCAAACGCCCCCCACCCCCAGCCAGCACTCACCACGTCCTGGGGCAGAAGGATTTCTGCTTTGGCTCCATTGCCCGGTCCCAGAGAGTCTGCCTCCTTGTCCGGCTTGAACCCAGCCGCCGGCTGCTGAAAACCGATTTTCACCATGGTTGCGATCCGCGCTCGAGGTCTTGGCTGCGGTCGTTACTTCGGCGTCGCTTCTCCCAGTCCCACCCGCACCGGCCCGGAGAAAGCACGGGAATCAGAAATGCCTGTTTCTTGCACTCCCGCAAAGAGTTAACGCCAGACGCGCTCACGTTTGCCCGCCCGCTCGTCCTCGATTCTTCGGCTCGCGAACGAGCCACGCTCCAGGCTCGAGAGATCCCACGTCTAGAATCCAGGAGTAACTTCAAAACATAAAAAAGCCGCTGTGGAGCAATTCAGGATGCAGCCTGTTTTCTGAAAGTCCCTCCCCAAAACGCAAGACGTGGATTGTGCCAGCTCCCTCCCCTGCTCAATACTAAGAAACTTTACCTATGCTGAAACACGCTTCCCCGTAATCTTTCTCGGCATATGCACGCCGCACACTCTTTCCCTATCTGTTGTTACCCAGAAGTGTTGCGCTAAGAGTTCTTATCCACAACTTCTGCTTTGCTCATAGGATCGACCTTTACTCGTCGCTATTACTAGGTTTAGAACCATCGGGGAGAGCTGCTGGATCAGGGCAAGGAGTCTGTCCAGCGTTAGCCCTACTTAGAGTAGACCCACTGAACAGAAGTCGATATCTTGGATACAATTTTATCTACAATTTTATTACCTTGCTCTTTGGCCACTCTGCTTCTGGGCCAGATGTTCCCAACTCTTCTCCAATGAGAACTGGAGAGCACAATGCTTATGCGTGTTTACTCAGAAGTAAGTCCCCCTGATTTCTCTGGGGCTTTCTTTGAAGGATGTATGTTTAAAATGGCAACCTTGGAATCAGAATGTGCTGAGCAAAGTGAGACAATGTTTGCAGGTCTTCTTATGCAGCATTTGGGCTTAATGGAAACAAATTTTTGGCTTTCATTAGGTCAGCCCAGGTGGAGAGCCCACCCTTCTATTACATTCCGCCTCTTCCTTGGTCAACTTCCCTCTCAAAAAAAAAAAAAAAGTCAAGCCTTTTCTTTCAGTGTATCACTCACAAATGCTAATAGTGTGAAATAAAAATGTGCAAGTCACTCATTTTGGCTAGGGCAGAACACACACACACACACACACACACAGAGAGAGGCACAGAATCCTACTGACAATTCATAAAGCTCCATAACTGAATTTCATATGGGGCAAGATACGTATTTTTTCATAAGCTTTTTACACTATACTTAACTAGGCATGAACTCAGTCACAGGTGTTTCCTTTGTTTTGAAAAACGGTTAGTGCAGTAATGAAATACAAGTCCCAGTATTAAAATGCAAGACTTCTGCTTTTCAAGTTGCTTTCCCTGAAGTTGAGTCACCCAGACAATGGCTGTTGTGAAGGCAACTGTGTCCTCTGTTAGATGCGTAGCACAATCTTAGACTCATCCACGCAGAACTAAGCACCAATGAGTTCCCTGGGGCTTACTCTCAAGTATTCAGGTACAGAATCAAAGCATGTAACCTTATTCACTCACATCTGGGAGTGAGTCCCACTGTGACTTAGTTCTGAGTAAATGTATTAGTTTTTCTTCATCATACTCACCAGATCTGAAGTAGGACACTCTATATCTCAGAAAGTGATATTATGATATCACTCTCACTATGATATCACACCACCCAGAGCCAGTGTGGTGTAGTGGCTAAGAGCCTGGGACTGGGACTCAGGCGACCTGGGTTCGAGTCCCCGCTCAGCCATGGAGCCAACTGGGTGACTTTGGGCCAGTCACAGACTCTCAGCCCAGCCTACCTCACAGGGTGGTTGTTGTGGGGATAAGATGGAGGAGGAGAATGATGTAAGCTGCCTTGAGCCCTTTGTAGGAAAAAGGCAGGATATAAATCAAAAATTTTTTTAAAAAAAATTAAATAAAAAAATAAATTAATGAAGAAGAGGAGGAGGAGGAGGAGGGGTATCTTTTTTAACATTAAACTCAGGGACTACCCATTACTTTTAAAAATAAGCAACCCCCCTTTTCCTAATATGGTAGATCATAGCTGATAGATTGGGTAGAAATATTAGACCTAATTGCACATAAGAGCACAATTCATGGGCTGCCACTTTACATAATCAGCCTCCAACTGGCCCAGTCACATGTTGCTTGGTAACACTGAACCTTGACATTATATTGTATTGGTGGATTACACAACCAGGCTAAAATTAACCTAAGAAGTAATTGTATATTGAATTTGGGTTCTTTAATCCTGAATAATGCATGTATCTGGGTTCACATGTCACAGAGCAGCTTATGATTCAGGTGACCGCCAGTTACAGATTCAAAATAGCAGTGGCATACCATCATTTCTTGTGAATAGGGTCATTATGAGCAAGTTCAAGGGTAGTCGATATTTCAGAAAATTCAAGAGTAAAAAATGTTACCTCTGAGGTTGGCTGATTACTCTTGAGATACCCACAAGTCTTATTTTTAAAATGAAAACTATAGTTGTTTCACTATGAAATGTAGAAACTCTGCTACTCTGGGTATAACTGAAGGGCTGTGTTTTCTCTGCCCCCCTTCTGATTTGATACATGGAAAACAGTATCTCCTTAAGATTGTTGTGGCTGTATCACCTTCAATCCTCCTCAACCAATTAATGAGGAGGTAAATCTTAGTGTACAAGTAAAGCCTTAGTTGATCAGCTTACAAGAATGCACCACCAAATTCATGACATTTTTGCACAAATATTGATCTTTTTATGATTATGGCTGCAATCCTATAGACACCTTCCTGGGAGTAAGCTGCACTGAATACAATAGGACTTAGTAAACATGCATGCAATTCTGTTGTAACAGTGTTTCCTATATGAAATCACACACAAGGGTGGGGCACAGAATGAAATAAATACATTTAAATTGTGGAGAAGTTGCTTTCATGCTTCTGTGAGATAATAGTTGCTTTTCATGCCTTCTGTGAAACTGCTTGCCATCTGCTTACTTAAAAATCCAAGGGATGAGTAATGCAGCCTTCAGGTTACTATGGCAGCCAGTTCCATTGCCAAGGTGATGCAGCATCTGAGTTAAGACTGAACTAAACCACAAGACGAATATAGTATTGGCCAACTTAGGAAAAGACATGGTTGGTGTCAGGACAGACCAGGCTCCCTCTTGGTGCCCTAAGTATTTCTTGGGAGATCTTGTTTTGCTATTACATTCCACACATTATTATTGGTCATCCTGCTATTTGAAGAGCTAATAATTCCCCTTCAGGCCCAGTCCTTCCATAGGGAAGAATGAAAGTGCCTTTCACAGTCGACCTTGGACATCGTAAAACAGCAGCAAATGGTTAGCTCTTTATTATTGCATTTTTACTTGCACGGAGAAGGGCTTATGAGTTTGCCATCTCACGGGCAAGTATAACTAGAAGAGGGTAAAGCACCAATTGCTGTCCTGTCTCAGGCAGCAAAAAGTCTGCGCCAGCTCGGCTCACCTTTCCCAGTAATGCATCTAGCCAACATTGCTATCCAAAGGCAGTCAGTATTATGAGGGGAAATGGTTCTCCTGGAACATCTGCACTTAATGTAAAACTTCTACTGGTTCTATCAACACCAACAAACTGCTAATGACCTTCCCACACTTTCTGTGTTATCACTAAACAAAGGACTACTGAGCAGTTCTGATGAGCACACATTTAAAACATGTCTAGGAGGGCACATGGCTGAGCTGGCCAACCAAAGCCCCCAGGATCCCACCCAGCGGTTACGTATGTGGCAAGTTTGTGAAACTGGGGCCTTTTTGCAAACGGCAAGCCTGAACTGCCCTGGATTCCCTCTCACCTGGGGAATCAGTACGCACGTCATACATCATCACGTCACATCACATACTAGACCAGCTTGGATGTTCCCACACCACCTCCCCGCAGGCCCAGCATCAGCAAATTCACAACTATAGATCTTGTAGCTTATGGGCCTCCTTGCCAGTGTTTGCCTCAAATAGTAGTGCTGCAGTGGGGGGTGGGCCTTTTGTGCATAGTGCATCCCTTTCTCAAGTCTCCAATGCAGTGGTTAGAACACAACCATTGAAGGCCTGCTTCCAGATTTAGAATACAATTAGAAGACTCCAGGTGCGCAGGCTAACCATATTAGCCATGTTCTAAATCCTCTCCTCACTTGGAAGCACATCAAGCAAATCCAGCCTTTTCTACATTAAGCTGTAAGCAAGCCTACTGAGCTGGGGAAATGAAGCAGCAGCAAAGGTCTTATTGGTGACAATCAGTTTTGCAATGAATTACGTTTTGCTTTTGTGCATTTGGTCAAACTAGTTTCAGTGCAGTGAATGAAAAGGTGCATGTGTGCACAGACACATGCACGTGCGTACACGGGGGGGGGGGGCATTCTTGCTATCCATTCTTGCCCCGAGGGTCAATCAGAATACTGAGATTTGGAACACAGCAGAACAGTTCAAAACAAACGCAGCTTCTCTTCCAAGCTATTTTCTTATCAAAGTCAGCAAAGGAAATATTTAAAAATTAGGAAAGGGCACATGGAAGGAAACCTATTCAGCAATTAATATTTATTCAAGAATGAATGGGAGGTCCAAGCAGCAATTCTACAGTCCGAATCACCAAAGGATATGCATTGGCAAAGAGAATTAAGGCAGTTAAGTGTGTAAATGAATATGTCTTGCATGAAGCAGAAAAGTGCTGTGCTAAGCCCTCAGGTCTATCCTTTTCTCTGAAAGGCTGTCACAAAAAAAGCTTGCTTGAGCATTCATCAATCTGTGAGCAGAGGGGATTTGATAGATTTCTCTGACCTGGCACTTGTCCATGCACTGGGCCTGAATGTCCGCAGTGAAGAAGCTACTATCTCAGGCAGGATTTCCAGGGAATGCTGGGAGCCCACAAGCAGCCCCTCTGCTGCAGCTCATCCCTACTACATGGGATGCTGCAGGGCCAGGTCATCAGGAATGAAGCTATTTGGCATGTATAGAGCAACTTGATTTTCTCCCAATAAAGGGTACATGATAAAAGTTGCAGCAGGGCCAGCAAGCACATCCCTGCTTTCACATAATGCAGAACACCGCAACTGGAGAAGAGTATGGAAGCAGAGAGAAAGAAATTACAGAAGGGATGGAAGTGGGCATGTACTTGAACATCACTGTGGTTTGATGGTTAACATCAGACTAGGAGCAGAGTGTCGATTTCAAAACTTGACTCATTCACAACCCTCAGGGTGACCCCGTGCAGTCATTTATTGATCTTAAAACTGAAACCCTGCTGTTACTTGTAGGGAAAAAGTTGAAGGCGGCTAACTTCAAATATAACCATAGTAAACCCCGATGTATGGAGAGATAGGGGTAGGGTGTGGGGGAGCATCTGCATGTAAATCAAAGTAGTGATAGAAATAGAAACCATACAGA